CGTGGGTGGCGCGCGCGCCCCCGGGCCGGCCCCCCCCCCCGTCACTGCACGAAGGCTTTCGGCGACAGCGGCAGAGCTCTTCCCGTCCTCCTCGGGTTCAAATAAATCACACCAAGACCGTTACTCAGCTCCTGCGTGTGGTTTGCGCCCAAGTATTCCCGTCGACGCCACGCCACGCTGGCCGCCCGCGGTTTTGTTGTGGGGCCGAGGAGCGCTTCCCCCTCTCGGCAGCCGCGCGGTGGCTTTTGGCGTTGAGGAAGGCTTTGTGCTTCAGGTCGGAGGGAGCGTGTAGGTTCTTACCACGCGCCTTCCTCGCTTCTGAAGGAAGGTGCCCCCAATGGCAGGACCAGTCACGGAGGAGTGGGCAGCGCTTAGCACTTGAGGGAGCAGAAATGGGTGTTTGAAAGGACAGTTCCTGGCAGTGAAGAAAGTAACTCACCACCTTGTATTTGTGAATAGTTACGGATTAATGTGAGTGAAGGACGGAGCGGTCAGAGATTTGGTTGGCGTGACCGTCATCGCTGAGGTGGGACTCAAGAGAAGAGCCTTGCTGGGTGGATTTCCACGGCTTACTGAGCCGGACGTACCGCAGGATCGTGCTGCCTTTTCTTCTTCTCTACCTTCTGCTTCTAGTCTCACCAGAAACCAAGAGGTGAAAAGCAGTTTGAAGCTTACTGGAACACGTTTACCGTGCCTCTTCCTTAATTTGCTGGCTGACTGGCACTGCCTGGCTTGGTTCCCTTTGGTTCTTGGAGGGACATCCAAGTCCCAGTGAAGTGGGAGAGCCCAGGGGCTCGTTTGGCCCCTGCCCTGCTCCTCAGCCCTCCAGAGATTGCACAAACATTCTTGCGGCTCTCAAAACACAGCAGAAGGATTGCTCGCTTTATTACTCTGAATCGTCCGCTCGTAGGTGCAATTAGAGTTGATCACAGGCTAGGAATTGTATTCCACCGCGTGTTAACGGTGCGTTGTGTCCGGGGAGGTCATTTGCTCAATTTCTCCTGCTCTTTCCCCCCACAGTTCATTCCCATGCCTGTGCTCTACGGCGTCTTCCTCTACATGGGTGTCGCTTCGCTCAATGGCGTGCAGGTGAGTCCCCCCAAGCAGACTCCCCGCCGGGCCTCCTCCAGAAGACGGCAATCGTTAACGAGTGCGGGGTTTCTTTCACAGCCCTCCGGCCTTTCCCTTCTCCTTCACCCCCTCCTTTTCCTTCCCAAGAAACCCGGGGAGGGTGGCAACTGTTTACAGATGTTGCCGCTGGCTGGCTGTCCCGCGATTGAGACCAAAGGGGAGCCATGTGCTCGGCGGGAGAGCAGCCAAGTCTGGGCCCTGGAAGGGACGGGGGGTGCTTGGTGAAGAGCCGGGGTCCATCTTCTCCCCGCAGCTCGGCGATGCTACGCTTGCGGAGGCCCCAGGGCTGGCTCCCCGGGCCGGTTCGGGTCCTCTGCCGGGGGCGTCGGTCGCAGGCGGAAGGAAAACAAGGGAAGATGATTTATGGCAGCGGGGTTATTCTGCAGTGTTAACGAGCGGGAACATTGCTGTTTGCCGGGGAGGGGAAGCCAAGCCCCTTTCTTTGTCGTTGAGGAAATACTACGTAAGGAGCCTTTCTCACAGCCCGGTCTCTGCGGCTGGCCCTAGGAAGCTGGAAGCGGTTTTGTTGCGTTCTGGCACCCTGTTAATTGCGACCTTTCTTTTTAGCGCTTGGTTGTGCTCTAACAGGAAAAGACTGCCTGTTCTGTGAGCACCATGAGAATTTCCTTGGGTATTCTTTGAAACGGCCCCGGCTTGCATTCACGGCTGTGAGATCAATCTGGTCTCGGCAGCGGGCAGCAAGCCCGCCTTCGGGCAGGGGACAAGGAAGGGATTGTAGCGTTCGCCCTGGGGTTGGTTCTTCTGGAGGGGATTTCCCCTGCTTCCCGGTCCAGGTGGTCAGGGGACTGGGCAGCTTGTTTTCCCCCCCCATCAAGGATGTTTTTCACTCGATGAGAAATCCCAATTTTGGTTTAACTCCAAGTCCATCGAGTCCAGCACGGGACGCTGCCGGAAAAGCGGCCCGTCTTCCTCGCTCTTTGGTTAGGAGCCCTTCTGTTCTCTGGTAACGTGATGTCTGCCCTCACCTCTGACGACCTCTGCTCCCAATTTATTTGGAGAAAAACACGCAGTTTTTAAACGCTGAATGTCTTTCCCTGGCAGGAGCGGGGCAGGGAAGGGTGGCAGAAATGACCCAGAGTTTGATGCTTGACCGTAGTTTGGGCATTCATCTTGTTTTCCCTGGTTTGTGGGTAATGAAATTCTCTCTTCAAGAGAAAACTCCCTACGTCCACAGCCGCAGCAGGTCAGGCCCGTTCTTTTGCAGCCAGCGGAGCGATTTCCACCGACACCGTTGTTCCTGGGTTTGCACGCTGATCACCGGGCCATGTGGAGTCCCGCTCCTTAAGATAAAGGCCTTGCTTTGAGCGATGCTTCGCTCCTGTGTCTCTGTTTAGTTCCCAAATACAGCGTAGACCTAGGACCTTCGCTTGAGACAGCTGAGTTACCGTGTTTTAGCCCACCCTGCGTTAAGCACGAGTTGGTGGGGACAGAGGAGCTACGCTGGGTTTTCTACTGGGTCTCCTTCATGGAAGGGAAGCAAGTTGGTTCAAGGTTGCACTTCATAGCGGAGTAATGCTTTTGTATGTCTTCTTTTGTGCATCCTGGGTTTCGTTTAAATGTCCGTTTCTTTTCCTTTCCAGTTCATGGATCGTCTGAAGCTGCTCTTGATGCCTCTAAAACACCAGCCGGACTTCATCTACCTGCGCCACGTCCCGCTGCGCAGGGTCCACCTGTTCACCTTCCTGCAGGTGGTGTGCCTGGCCCTCCTCTGGATCCTCAAGTCGACCGTGGCTGCTATCATATTCCCTGTCATGGTAGGTGACTTTCTCCTTCGCATCCCTCCCCTTTGCGCCTTCCACGCGCGGTCATACCCGCCCGTAAACAGGCAAATCCAACCTCTCCCTCTCAAATCCCTAGCTCGGGGCTCTTCCTCCATTCGTGGCACTGATGTAAGACTGCACGGGGTCAGTGTTGCCGTGGCTGCCTTTACATAAATCCTCTGGAGGAAAACGAGCCTGGAAAGTTAATTTTTTTCCCGAAAGGTGTACTTAGTTTTGACCGTTCCTGGCTGCCAAGGTTAGATTTGCCGCGTTGTCTCCCTGAGCTGCATGAACATATGAGAGGTGCATAGTTTTGGGTTTTTAGTCCACGCTAATTACAGTACGGAAAATGTCTCCCTTGCTTTTAAATAGCACAAATTGCCAAAACCAAGAATGAGGCTCGCTGCTAAGAGGTGTGCCAAACGGAGGGAGAGGATTAGCTAAATCCAGGGCAAAGAACAGAATGTCTTTTTCCTTGAACTTGAGTAAAAAGACAATAATGTTGAATCATGTGTTTTTCATGCCAGAGGATGACATGTAAGTTTGTGGGATGCATGTCCTCTTTCTAATAATGCATATCAGAGTCATGTCAAAACTTAGTTTGCATGTTGAGAGGTAAAACGTTCAGCACACAGAAGAACTGTTTCTTAAATCTACGCTGTGCAGGCAGTCTGATATAGTATTTCTACATCGAGGAAAGGGAATAGCGAAAGAGCTTTCTGTGCATTTAGATTATTACTAGAGCTGTAGACACAATTGGGCATTTACACCAAATAAAAACCAAACAGGTGTTAAGGGGAGTTTACCTGTACACTTTGCCTCAGGCATCGAAACCTGTGACCGTGGATCCTAGATGAGGGAGCACGGAGTAGATCCTTCTCCGCCTCCGTGCCTGACCTGTAGCTCAGCTGGAACAGTAGGGAGGAACGTGGCCGTGGGGCCGAACGGATCGAGTGTGGATCCAATGGGACCATAGCTGCACACACAGAGATTCTGCCGAGTCTGGTCTCTGGCTTGGAGATGGGTCAGACTGCTGCAAAGGCAAAGCTTTATGAAACCCCACGTAAGAAATCTGCGCCCAGCGTCACCTAGTTTCAGGTTGACGGACAAGTAAAATTTCAGTTGTGGGTGCAGTTGCGAACTGCAGCGCTTATTTAAGGGAGAGAAGGAGGGAAAGCAGAAAACAGAACAAGGACAAGCGTTTGTTCCCTGATGCTGGTGAAATGAGACAAGGTGATGCAAGCAAAAAAAAGTCCTCCAAATGTTCTTGCTGGGACACATGGTCGTGTATAAAGGCGTTAAAAATCAGCAGTTCCCACTGACACGCCGTTCCGTTGCGTTTTCACGGCTGTGTTGTGCTGCGCTTGAGAGCTGCATCTAAGATCTGGACACTCCTTGCTCATACTAGAGAGAATCTGAGTGAGCCCTAAGTCTGCTGAAGTTTGTTATATGGTCCAAACTCAGGCAAGGTACAGTCACAGCTTAGATGTAGCTGGATCTGATGGCAAAACCTCAATTATTTGCACTCATGAACAAAAAGACTATAAACTTGCAATTTGTGAAGATCCAGCCTATAGCCAAACGCCCGTTTATGTGAAGGAAAGGAACTTTTAATACAGAAGTAATGCATCACAAATCATGGGTGTCTACATGGCATCTTTCCACCCCCTGAGTAATTTCTCACTTCTGTAATCGCGTCTTAAGTTACGCAAGTCAAAGCGTGAGATCCTTTCCTAGGAATTGTTTGTGCCATTGATCATCATGGCTCAGAACAAACTCTTCATCTTAAAGGCAGCCCTAGGTTGTCGGGAAGGGGTTATATCTTTTAGTAGCCAAGTCGAGCCTTCCGCCTTTCCCTTTGGCAAAGCGTACATGTGATCTCGGTAGGCAGCTGGTGGTGGCGTTAAACCCAGCGTCGATGTCAACACCTACTTCAGACACGGCCCTTCTGTTTTTTTTTCCCCCCAGTGCCTTTGATTGCAGTCTTGCACAGAAAAAGCTTTTCCTCCAGTTTCACACAGCCACGATCCTAGTAAACTTTATTCTGCAAACTCTGAGGGCACGGTTTGGCCCTTGTCTAATTTCTAAAGAGTTCTTGCATCTGGGGAGGTGGTGAGAAAGACAGGCACACAGTTACTCAGGCTGGCCCTCTGAACCTGCATACGTAGGGTGAATCCAAAAATAAATGAAAATACTCATTTTTTTTGTCTCTTTATTATTTTGCCTGCTGCCTGTCAGTTGGATGTTAAAGATGACCTTTGTCTCTACAGCAGTATTAAGTGATTAGATACTTTCTTCTGTACGATGCTCCTGTTTATTCTGATGTGAAGCAGTCAGAGTTCAGACTTTCAAGTTGGTGGAGACGTCCCAGGTGTTCACCTTGTTCTCTGTGTGTTCATTTACAACCAGAATTAAAGTGTGTGGGATTAAGAAGCAGCATCAAGAGGAAGACACAGAGTGTTCCCAGTTAAAGGTAAAATGTGACTGAGAAGTCCCTCTCTGCCTTTTTTCAGATCCTGGCACTTGTAGCAGTCAGAAAAGCCATGGACTACCTCTTCTCCCAGCATGACTTAAGCTTTCTTGACGACGTCATTCCAGAAAAGGATAAGAAAAAGAAAGAGGACGAGAAGAAGAAGAAGAAAAAGAAGGGCAGTGTGGACAGTGACAATGATGATGTAAGGAGCTTTCTGCTCTTGTCAAATTACTCATTTCTAGCTAGCTAATCCCGGGGGACGGTCCATGCCCTTCTGAGGCTGAGGCTCTGGGGCTGGGATTTCCCAGCCTCTTTTGAAGCCGACCAGCTTTGCTGCTGCAGCCAGTCGGCCCCACACAAAACTTTTCTACATTGCCTTCCCTTTTCCAGACGTCACCAGGCCGCGGTAGGCGGTACTTGCTCTGCCAAGAATGAAATCTCACTTCCCAGAAGAGCACTAGATACCTGCTGAGACATCACGCCCTTTACTAGAATGCTTTCGTCACCCTGCCTTGTTCATCTTTCCCTCCTCTGCCTTTCTCCCCCGCCGTTGTCTTTTACATTTCAGGAGGAGAATGGGTTTCACCAGCAGCTCTGTTACTTCTGAATATATTCTGGGTTTCTTTTTCGATATTTTTTTGAATTACTCTTTTTAAAAGCAGAAAAAGATGCGACTTGTCGTATTGCGGGAAAGACTGCTTTCTGTTGGTAATACTCATGATGTAAATATTTTCAAAGCATACATGCCCTTCTGCAGCATACTCTTTGGTCCTACCTCAGGGTGCAGCCCTAAAATAGTGAAACGTGGCTGCTTACGCCATTACTAAGCACGGTGACCTGACTAGACCAGATCCACGTGCCTTAGACTGTTCTATTTTTTTATGTAAGAACAAGAACTGTAGTCCTCGTGCCTTTAAACATTCTCCTACCCGGGTCTAGCATGAACTCAAATCCTATAAATTTATATTGAAGTGCTAAACGCACTGGTTATATAGCACTTTGTATAGCAAGTGTGAGCTGCCTTAGGAGAGCTGGCTGCCTCGGTCAGCATCACCTTTTGCAACGTGAGAAGGGAGCTAGGCTTTAGTAATTTTAGGCTACACGGAGAGGACTAAGCGCAGCGTCACTTCTTCTGCTCATGTAACCAGCCAGGGTTCATGAAGAAGGGCTTTTCCTATCGTGCAGGCAGAGGTAAAATCACCTGAAGCTGGGAAAAAGATCCCATTTTAACACGGCAGGAGGAACAAATGAGAAGGGATGGCAGTATGGGAGGAGGCAGGCAGCAGGAAAAGTCAGCTGGCCCTTTCTCGAGCGCTCCTGCCCGCTCCTGACCTGCAGCCCCCCAGTTTTGAGCCGCAGCCCGGTGCGGTGCGGCAGAGCGGCGGCGGCACCAGTGCGTGGTCCGCTTGCTCCCTGGCCTCCTTCGTTGATACGAAGCGGGTAACAGTGACCTCCCCAAGAAGCAGCTGCTGGGTCGGTGTGTCTGTCTGTCTGTCTGTCAGAGCTGCTTGCAGCAAAGCCTGAAGGTAGCACCGGTGCCACCGAACCGGAGGGTCACGGGTGCTGTGGGATTGTCGTGTCTCACTGTGTGTTTGGAGGGTTTCTGCTGAGTATCGTCTGCATCCTTTCCGCACTGAGCAGATCTACCAAATCAGCCCTCCTTGTGGGTTAGATGGTAGACCTGGTGTCTTCAAGAGGAAGATGGCAGCTCCAGGAGTTCCCCCAGACCATCCCGATGCCTGACCTTGCTCAAGGTTGGGAGGACAGAAAAGGCAACCTCAGTCTTGGTGGAGGACAAGCTAGAACCCGAGCCCTTTACGTGAGAGCTGTGTAACACCTCTGCAGATCGGTGTTAGAGGCAGCAAAGTCAGGCTATTCCGATGAGAAAATATGCGAAGGAAATATATAAAGAACATACACTGTCTAAAGTTTAGCGTGTACCCTGTAAGAGACAAAACTAGGCATTTCCTAGGTGAGGGCGCAGCGTTGTAGGAGGTAGCCTAGATCTGCGCCTTGTTAAAACAAGCTGAATCCCAGCTGGGAAGATGGGCTCTTATTTCGGACAGCAAGCTCCCCTTTCCCATCGTTCTCTGATTCCTGGGAGGCCAAGGGTTTCCTTCAGCGGATAATTTTGTGCAAAGCAAAAGGAGAGAAAATGCCAACCCTGGTAGGTAGCAACCAGTCAGCAAAGGTTTGACTCCATCCCCTCCTCTTGACTGATTTGAATCAGCAGTGTTGTATCCCGCGCCATGGCTCCCATATCTCTGGTATATATATTTTAAGCTATCTCCTCTCTTCTCAGGCTTTTCATGAATTTCAGGTGCAGTAATTGCTCTAATGGGTAAGAGAATTGATGCAAAATGTTGGTTCTTAACTCTTCTTGGGGTTTTTTCCAGCACTTGCTTTTACCAGCTTCCGGAACGTAACGCACTTGGCATTGTTGCTTTGATTATTTCCCCCCTTTCCCTTCCAGAAACTGTGCCCCCACAAAGTTAGCCCGGTGGGATTTGGCAGGCAATACACCGCTCGGAGTTCGGCAGAGAGAATTGCTGGGCGTTGCTAGTGCCAGCGGTGTTGGATGAATGAGTACGGCAAAACCTGGCAGTGTTGGAGACCGCTCAGCGCTACTTAGGGCTCACCTGAAGTTCTCCCTGGGGTTTGCTAGCAATCGGGGCAGCGAGAAAGGAGCTGGAAAGAAAGATTATCAGCAATCTCACCTTTTTTTTTTTTTCCCTCCAGCTTGTCTTTACAAAGTATGAATTAGTGCAACTAGTTGCCGCGTTTGCTTAATGAAAACTCAAGCGCCTTGGTTTTCTCTTCAATTTTATGTCGAAAAACGCATGATCCAAGAAAGGCCAGACAATTTTTATACAAAATTTTGGGCTAACACGCTTAGTTTCAGGGTCGGAAGTGCTGTGTAATGGTCTCTTCTCCCCTTTGGGGCATTTTTGCCGACTGCAGATACTTTGTCTGTCTCTGTCCATTTTAGATGGTGAAGTTTAAAGGAGACGCTGAGCATCAGCGTTGCCATTCCTCTGGCCTCTTACATTTATTTATGAGCATCGAAATGGTGATATGTCAGAGAGGTTACCCAGCTCTTATGCTCTGCTTATGGCATGGCCCCATACGGATGGGGATTTTGGGATGGCTTTATTGCCACAGTGCTTTTCTGCGGAATCATCTTTATTTGAGCTATGCTCGTCCCTCAGCCTCGTAAAAATGCTCCCGAGGAGACATTTTGCTATCGGAGTATGAAATAGTGCGCTGGATGTCAGTTATGTTAAAAAATAATTAACAAAAAGAATCCAGGGAGAGCAATTTTCTGGCCTCCATAATGTTTTCCTGCCCTGACTTGAGGGTCTCCCTGCCTCCACCCCAGCGTTACGCTCGGTGCTGTGTCTAGTTCTCTCCAGGAACAAAGATGTGTTAACGCTTCTGACAAATAACATCGTACTTCCTTGGCCAAGTTATGCAACGTCAGCCTTTTCTTGGTTACGAGAAGTTACTTTATTTTAAAAAAGCAAAATAATTCCGAGTACCTTCTACTAAGCGTAAGCAGGTGGATTATTGAGCCCGGGGGGTATAAATGATGCTGGTACCCGAACTCCGGGGGACCGCGTCTGTGGCTTTTCTCTGCACTTGTGCCTCTTTTTGACCAGTTTGCTGTTTCTCCTGGCTGGCTGGGAGTACTGAATTCTTACAACAAGGGCCCTGGATTTGGTGAAAATTACATAAAAAAAAAAATTACATGAAATGTTAGTGTACATAGAGGTGTAATTGAGACTGGGCTTGACTCGACTTAAATGAAAGGGGGAGTTGAGACAGTCCAGCTTAAGGAACCTCTGCCATATCGTGTCTGGCCCGCGTCCTCGTAGAGCAACTGGGGAGAAAAAAGGGCTTTTACGGAAATCACAGCAGGATAAAATATTTTGTTGAGCTTTCACAGCAGCCGGTGCCCTGCTGTTTCTGCCTACGAACGCATTTTCCGTCTGTATCTCCTGCGGCCGACTCCAGGCTGAATTGGATGGTGTTGTATAAGCTGGTGGCAAAGGAGCTGGTGAGGTGGGGAAGGGGGGAAGATAAGAATTGCACGGGGTTGTTCTTTCAATCTGTTTTACTTTCGCAGTGTGAAGGAAGAGGAAAAGCGGGGTGCGGTGGGGAAGCGGCGGAAAGCAGCAGGCGACTAAGCTGGCCGATGCTTTTTTTTATTTTTGCTTCTTTTCCTTATTCCTACAGAAACTATATGAAGGATAATTCTAATTTGTGGGAGACGATAAGAGAGAGAGCAGTGAAAATATTCTAAGACCTTTTACACGTTTCTTTCACAGTCTGACTGCCCCTACTCAGAAAAAGTCCCAAGTATTAAAATACCAATGGACATCATGGAGCAGGAACCTTTCCTAAGTGATAGCAAACCTGCCGACAGTGAGTAGAACTAAACTCTTGCATGCCTGCTTGACTCTGACTTGCAGTACGAAAATAAATACGTATATATTTAGAGTGATTTAAAAAAAAAAAACAACTAAACCTTTCCTACTACTTGAGAAGTACTTTTTCTTGTTCTTTTTTTTTCTCTTTTTTAATTTCCAGGCCTCTGATTTATGACAGATTTTGGTTTTGTGAGCTTTTTTTCTTTGCTCGTTACAAAGTTGATGTTGTTCCTTCTGGTGCCTCCAGCTTAAGCGCTTTTATCCAGCTACTAACAGCTCTCTTGGCCACTCGCTCTCTCCTCCTCTCTTTTCTGACCTTTCCCGTTTTGTGTTAACTCTGCTGATGGTTTGTTTTTTTTTTTTTTTTTCCCTCGGAGTCTAGTGTTCTGGATTTGCAGCATGTCTAAACTGCATCGCTGTCCCCGTTACCGTTTGTTCCCTTAGGTGCCAAGCAGTTGCACAAATCAGCGCTTAAAAAGAGTAATTAAGTGTGTCATTGATCCGCATTGCGCATTAAACTGACAAGGCGGTGATCAGTTGACCATTAACGTGTTTCCCTTCTTAGGTGATTTGCTTTTGTGCTCTTCTGTTTCTTTTTAATTTCTCACGTTAATATCCCTAACCGATGATTACGCTCTTCATTTCCAGTCGTTTTCACTTTTCATATTTATAGTCTTTTGAAGTGAGGAATGGGGAATGACGGCTGACCTTAGCTTTTTTGCCTTGGCGCTGACTTTTTAAAATACTGTGAGTGATTTATCTCCATCTGGAGATAAATACGCTGTTTTGTCGTGGGACAGGAGGGGAGCAATACGAATGATAGTAATAAATTACTACTGCTGGCAAGGCTGATGATTTCTAGGGGGAGGACCTAAAACCACAGATCTCTAGAACCTTAAACTATCATTTGAATTTAAGAGCTGGTACCCAAGTCCCTTACCTTGCGGTGGCAATCCTGAGCATCGCTCTGTGTTTTTTAGATACGGGAACGCTTAGAGATTGGCATTATGAAACCAAGCCAAAGAGAAGGAGACGTTTCCCTCACTATTTACATATTGTCACTCTTTTTCTGATAAAGAAGAGATAAGGAGCTAGATCAGCCTCGGACAACCAAACGGATCCTCCTCATTTTTTCTGTGAAAATGCCCTTATGTGCTAAAAGGTTGTTACACGGGATTTTATGTTCAGAGGCACTGTTTTCAACATCTTTGAGGCTGAAATAGTTAAGGAAGAGTTAATTCTGCCACAAACCTGCTTGTTGGAACGCCCTTGGAGACAACACGGGGTAAACCACCCGTGAGCCCAGCAAAACCAGCTGGTTTGTGTATTTGTACATTTTTATAATGCAGTAACCGATTTGCTGGTTTAATTAGAAATGAAAAAAAAAAAAAAAAAAAAAAAAGGCAGGCCCTTGGACTAGAAAAAGTTGCTGGAATTCAGCAACAGTGTGGTATTGTCCTTGAATATAACTGTGCTCTGCGATTTGAAGTGTATTACTGATAATACTAGTAGCATTAGCGTTCCTTCAGCAACGGCAAGAATAGGATTAGTATTATTATTAACAGAGAGTACATTTCCCCACGCCGGGTCAGGGAAGGAATCATAGAATCATGGAATCGTCTAGGTTGGAAAAGACCTTTAAGATCATCCAGTCCAACCATTAACCTACACTACCAAGTCCACACTAAACCAGTCAAGGGTAGACCAGACTGAACCATGTCCCCAAGTGCCACATCTACCCGTTTTTTGAACACTGCCAGGGATGGGGACTCCCCCACCTCTCTGGGCAGCCTGTTCCAATGCTTGACCACCCTTTCCGTAAAGAAATTTTTCCTAATTTCCAACCTAAACCTCCCCTGGCGCAGCTTGAGCCCATTCCCTCTCGTCCTATCGCTAACTACGTGGGAGAAGAGACCAACACCCCCCTCACTACACCCTCCTTCAGGTAGTTGTAGAGAGCGATCAGGTCTCCCCTCAGCCTCCTCTTCTCCAGGCTGAACACCCCCAGTTTCCCAAAGGAAAGCCCTTACAGGCAACAAGCCACCTATTTTCTCGCAAGGAGTCTGGGCGCGGCAGTGAGGAGCACGGGGTGACTAAAGAGGTGTAGGTAGAAGGTAAGTGTACAGACCTAAAGGTGGTGGAAGTCTGGGGAAGCGAGTCTTTTGGCCGTGTTGGCAGCTCGAGGGTTTTTATCTGGGAGGAGAGCGAGAGGAAAAAATTGAGTGGTTTTATTTACAAGCTGTGAAACGCATCTGGCAGGCAGGCCGTAGTAAAAAGAGCATTGCCAAGCAGATGGGAGTATAACTGGAGAAACTGAGGCTGGGCTTGAGAAGCCGTCAGCGCCACGGGCAATGACAAACCAGACTTTATTCCCTCCCCGACAGGAGAAAAACCACCAACATTCCTTGAACGCCATACGTCGTGCTGATACAATTCCTTTCCTTCAGTCACGCACCATGCCAAGGTAAGCACCCAAAAAACGCACTTTATAATGGTTCCTCAAAAGCATCTCAGCTACCCCTCGGTATCCTGAAAGTCAACGAGGCAAAGTTTCTGTCCCCCCCGTAGAAAACTCTTAAAAAGCACTTTGAGAGAATTCCCTACGTAGGGTTGCAGCGTCCCAAGTTCATTACCGACACGGCTTTGCAGTGCTTGGGACGGGGCGTGAGACCTGAGGGCTCCACCGGCCTTGCTTGGACCCCCGCTGCAGTACCGATGGCTGGTTTGGGGTGTAGACCAGAAGAAGGATGCGGAGCAACTGGGAGGAGTCTGGAAAACGCGTCTACAGGGGAAAAATTAAATTAATTGGGGTTGGTTAGCCCTTAGTAAAAAAAGGGCGAGACAGTGAGATAAAATTGCTGTTAGGCTTTCAACAGGATGTCGCAAAGAGGAAGTAATCCATTTTCCCATGTCTGCGGTGGAAAATGGAGTAAATAATAACCTTAAATTGCAGCAAGGAAGAGTTAAGTAACAATTTCTCAGAGCTCAGCCACGGCTCAGCTCCTTGGGGCCACCTTGGACTTCCCCGTGCAAGGAGTCGGACCTAGACCACAGCAGCAATAGTCCTCTGAGGCGTCAAAGTCGTATCTACCCTTCCAGGCGTTAGAGAGCGTGTGAAATGAGTCTCGGTGGCTAGAACCAGATTCTTTCAAAGGCAGTTTATGGGTGTTGCCACAGCTCGGTGTGAAGCACAAGTGCTTAGGATGCTTGGAGCTCCTCAGTCAAGGAAGGCGGTTTTACCTCCTGACATGAGCAGCGTTTAGACCAACTCATTAAAATTATCGTACGTGACGTACGGGCCTTATCTTAAGACCAGCTGTGTATTACCGCTGCCTGTCAGGGTTATTTCCTTGGTACCTACGTGCTGCCGGTTTCAGAAAGCTGTGCGGTACGAGCGAATGCAAGGAACCGATGCTGGGAGGCGAGCATTTCTTCCATTCCTAGATGTGACACCGCCCGTTGGGTGTCCCAGGAAGTCCCAGGATCTGCGGTTTTCCCAGTTTACGCCAGCTGCCCTTCTGTTTTGTTTGTAAAATGCTGTAAAATCTCTTGCAAGTTGTAGGTGATGACTTTTTTTTCAGGCGTTGGTCGCTGGGGAGCTGTGCTAGCAGAAGTCCTGAGCACGGCAGAGCGTGTTCAGAATGGCCGAGAAGGCTGGAGGTAGTCCTCACGCTTAACCACCTCTTTCTTTTTCTTCGCAGCCCTCCACCAACTCCAGTAAAAGTTGTGCCTCAAATTAGAATAGAACTTGAGCCTGAAGACAATGGTTATCTCTGGAGGAGCAAGGGAACAGAAACGACTTTGTAATTTGTCTGTTAAATCTGTTATGGAATTTATTTTGTCACTAGCCAAATACTGAGATGCTCCCTGCTCCCCACCTGCGTAGGTAGAGGGGACGTCCCGCGTTGCCCCTCGCCCCTGCAGACCCCCTCTGGTCCCTCCTCACCCGCTTCCCCCCCGCCGACCAAGACTCCTTTTGCCTTCTCTGTCGCTCCGACACGCACGCACCTCTCTGGTTTGCACGCAGAGGGCAGAAGTATTGAGGTTAGCGTACCATACCTGTGGGAGATGTCAGAGGAGCTGGCATTACTCTAGTTGTGAATCCGTGTGTGTGCGTTGGTCTCTTCGTCGTCTGGCGGAACAAAACTGACCTCCAGGCTAATTCGATGTCTCGCTTACACTGCTCGAAGATGCTGGAAAGTGCTGCTAATACTAATTTGCTCTTAAAGCCTGTACTTGTAGTTAATGCAGGAAGGAAAAGGAAAAGGTACTTCACTCCCAGCACAGATAAACCATTGCCATCGTTGTAGCATGTGTTTTGAAATGTCCCTTTCCTATGCAATTTTTTTTAAAGAAACACTTTAATGGACTTAATCCGTCAGGTACATTGAAGAGTGTTATTTTCCTAGATTATTTTGTTTAAATTATGGGGGCCTAACCTACGACTTTTTTTTGTCAATTTTTTTAACCTTTTTTTAATTACTGTAAAAAAAAAAAAATGAATTTTTCCTGCAGCAGGAAACATATAGTTATGAGTAGTTCTACCTCTTATTTCTAGACGCCAGGCTTTCTGTAAAAAATGTATTGTACCATATATAATGTGATTTTTACAAAAAAAAAAAGAAAAAAAAAACAAAACCACAACACCACACCACAATCTCCAGGACGTGGCATAGGGCTGGATCAGTTTGATTAACACCTTCTACTCTGAAGCACCTGTTTTACTTAGGGTTATGTTGGTTTTTTGTTTTTTTTTTGTTTTTTTTTTTTTTTAATAAGTAATCTAACTTTACTGTGAAGGAGACGGGATGTAACAGAAATCTCTTGTGATCTAGGAAGAGTCCTAAATGTAACGGTGGTAAGCGAAATACTGACCGGCTACCGACGTCAGTGGACAGACGCTGATTGCATTCGTGTTGTTGATTTCCTACACGGTATTGTTCGAATTATTTCTTTCGAAATGTGGGGGTGTGCGCGCGCATGTGTAGGTGTATACGTGAGAAGACCCCGGGTGCGCTTCGGGCGCGATGACGGCGCAACGGAGGAGAAAGACAGCTGAAGGCGGCCTCCGGCAACGTTCATCCCGACGCTCATGTTGGCCAGGCTCACAAACATCCTCTAGCATCCCACATCTGTCTACCATCATCTACAGAATTTACCCCAAATCTTGACCGCTCGGTCCTAGACCCATCCATCCATACACAGCGATGCGTCAATACCAAGCAGGCTAGGCGTGGGCACGCCCAGGCTTCTGGTTTTAAACCAAGCGAGCAAATATTACCTTGGGAGGGATGATTTTCTCTCGGTAGCACCTATGCGTATGTACTTGGGCGTGCAGGTGGGGAATTGGGCTTCACCAAGACATTTCTTCGATGAAACGTGAGGGCTACCTGTAACACGCTAGAAGCTTCATCAAAAAACAAGAAAAAAAAAGCCCAGCTATAAGGGCTAATTCCCCAATGGAGAGAAATCCCGCCGCCGAGGGCAGGCACGTTGCTGCCGCTTTTGTCCTTGCGCAACCAAAGTCCACGTTGGTTAAGTGAAGAGGATTTCATGACGGTGCTGAGACCTCACATGCCAAATTTGAGCATCTACTCCCTCGTAGTAGCCATAGCGGCAACAGGAGGTGCAGAATAGGGCTATTCTTTCCTTTCCCAGATGCGCTGTAGCAGCAGCTGGCCACCTTACTTTTTTCCCTACGGCGCTTTGGTTAGAGGATGAGCTGGTAGGGACCGCGATCGTTTGAGCTTGATCTGCTGCAAGCGGTCATTGCTGCAGCAAGACGATGGAGCCGCGGAGGCGCCGGCGCAGCACGCGCGTCCGTACGTTCCCCGAGTCGTTCTCGAGGGGTCTCAGTTTCGCCTGCCGTGAAATGCGCGTCGACTCGCAGATGGGCATCCCGGGAAGCCAGCCCAAATGTGCTTCGGAAGGGCTGGGGAGATGTCGGGAACGGCCAAAAGAGCGGCTCTGTCATCCCTTCCGCCGCGGGGCCCCGCTAGCTGGAGGACAGACAACCTGGGAAGCGCAATGCCGGCGTCAACCAACAGTTTCCATCCCTTGGTGAACGCAAGTCCCTGGCTCCCGAAGGGGAAACGCGCTCGAGCGTCACCCGCAAAGTACGCGGGAGCTTGTTGTGTTTGGCCCAGGCCTTGGGTTTGTAGGAATCCCGGTAGCTGACAGAGAAAAGATCAAACCAGATGAGGATAGAGCGAAGCGGCTTTCCTGCTCCCGGTGGGCTCCGCGGGCAGGGCGCCGCACCCACGCGCGCAGCTTCCCATCCGCGGGCACCTGGTGACGCGCCTCCACAAAGACGAGATCTTCCGCTTGCCAACCGCGTTAAATGTACTTGAAATGCATTGACTGCTGATCTAGATCTTTTTTTTTCTTTCTTTCTTTTTTTCTTTTTTTTTTTTTTTTATTATTTACTTTTACAAACATCCTCATCTATTGTGAAGTAATACCAAACGATTATCCTTAAAGGTTTCTGTAGCTTTCCGTGAAAAACGCACCAACTCTGGCGACAGGAGTTGGAAATGCTTCCTTTCCTGCTGCCTGACAATAGCCCTTCATTGGTGGTGTCTCCTTTCTTGGTTTTTCCTTTAAAAAACGAACCAAAACCCAACACAAAGAGAGCAACCCAGAGCTCCGCCGGCACCGGGAGTCAGCAGGCAGGGAAAAAAAAAGAGGCTCCAGGTGCCACAAGGAAAGCTTCGCTGCACTTCATAGACCTTTGAAAATAACCAGAACTTCTTTTCAGTCAGATTTGGGTGGGTTGTTGGTTTTTTTTTTTTTTTAATTACAATGAGCTACCCGTACTTTGGCTGAGCGCTTCTGGGAATAGGTGTGGAGACTGACCCCAAAGCCCCCTGGAATGGGAGGCGGCCGTGGAGAAATGAACTGCTCGGAGCAAAACGAAGCCTGGTCCCATCTCGCGGTGGGATCCCACGGCAGCCTGCCTCTGAGCCCACGCTTATTTGTCATCGTGGCCGTTAGATATTTTTATTTCTTTTTTTTTTTTTTTTTTTTTTAATCAACACGCACTTTCAGATACTTTTATTATTGTTTTTAATTCTCGTAAGTCTGTATTTGCTTTGGAGGAAAGAATAAAAACTTAGTGTAAAATGAAGTGGATCAAGATGGTGGAACAAAAAGGAAAAAAAAAAAAAGCAGAAAACATTTCAATATATTAAAAATGATTTTTTTTTTCCAGTAATATAAAACATGAAATTCCTTATAACATTATAGTATTTTACAGTTTTATGAAGCTTTCTATTGTGACTTTTATGGAATCAAAAGATGAAGATGATGAGATATTTTAGCATTTATATTTTTCAAAATTAAATGTATACTGAAAATAAAGTAACTTTATGCATTTATCGGAGAGTTTGTGCGTGTGTTTTTCCTCGTTACGGACTCAGTCTTGTTTGGTTGAATCGGGATGCCCGTATCGCTGCTGTCGTGATCGCCATTTCCAAGGGACGATGCTCGGCGGCTCTCCGGCGGGTAGAGGACGCTTAGGAAAAGTCCCACAAATACATGTAAAAAAAATGTAGGGAGAGTCTCTTAATGAACCATAGAGGAGTTTAGGATGTATGGCTGTAAAAGTGAGTTTTAATGAGAGAAATACTCTTTCTTGAGGTAATATACTGAAGCTTTTTGGGGAGTGAAATGTAACTTGGGCACAAATAAAGGCGAAGAGACCCGAGTCCCATCTCGGCAAGTCAAGGGGCACGAGGTGGTAACAGAAGGCGGCAGCCGGGTACAAATCCCAGCCCCACACCATCTTTTTTTTTTCGGCGGGTCCTTTTTCAGCCCTTTCCTTACCGGGCACCGCACAGGCAGCAGGCAGCCAAAGCAAGCAGAGCGTGATCAGAAAGGTGCTGGTGGAGGCGGGGGGTCCCCGAGACCCCGGAGCGAGGGCACCCTCACCGACCCCCCCCCAAAGATCGTTTTGGGATGCAGAGAAGGCCCTCGAGGGGCTCAATGCCGCGGGACCCTGAGTCGAACCTGGGATTGGACAAGATTGTGGAAGACGGGTCCAGTAACGGGGACGTGCCCGCTCGCAGCCCAAATCCGGGGATCG